TTTGTGTAGCTGAAGAAGACCTGCCCGTTGTTCTTCTTGACTTTACGGTAGACTGCGACACTGCCCGACGACTCAAGGTTGAAATAACCAAGGCTTTCGTTCTCCTCTTTTGATACCACAGAGCCAAAGGCTCCCACGTAGAACGAGGGATGACGGTAGTGCGTCGGGTTCGTGTTGCGCTTCACGTCTCCCGATTGTCTAAAGCAGGACTCTCGGAAGAAAAGTTTGCCACCGGGACGCAGCCATTTAATGGCCTTTTTGGCGAAGTTTTTCACCTCTTCGTCTCCCAGATACATGAATAGCCAGTTGGAAAAGATGACGTCGTAGGAGTTGGGCTCAGCCTCGAGGTTGACGACGTCTTTACAGAGGAACGTGACGTTGTCCAGATGGCCGTTGGTGGCGACGTTGGCTTTGTGGAAGTCTTCGATGAACTCGACGGCCGTGAGGCTCTTGGCGCTCTTGCCGATGATGGACGTGAAGCGGCCGATTCCGGCGGCCAGCTCCAGCACGTCCTTGTTCTCCATGGAGGGGGCGCGCTCCATGATCTCGGGCATCTCACGCTCGTGGAGGACCTTGGCGTTCGAGTCGAGCATCATGGTCTCAATGTCCGTGTTGGAGCTGTGCTCCGTCCAGTAGGACTTCATCTGCTGGCGAGTGGTGTCAATGTTCTCGATTGTCATCTTCTTGGGCTCTTTTGGTCTTGGGACTTGATTGCCAAGGGGCAAATTGGGGAATGAGGAAAAGTGCAAGAGGGTCCTACTCAGTGCCCATCACCCTGGCGTCTGCGTGTTTAAGGGTTGCTGATTAGGGTACTTCAATCACATTCAATGTACCATGTCTTACAATTTTTAAGATATTGGTGTTTCATGTTGATTACAGGTCCCCCCTTGATTTAGCAACTGCGTGTTTGATTACCGGTATATCGTCCAGCAGGTCCGCTGCTCTGTGGAGGCAAGCTGCGGAGTTCCGAGATTCGCTTGCAGAGGCGAGCCAATTGGACCGGCAAGCAAGCGTCTTGCTCACACGCGTTGGATAACCACTGGCCAAGTGACTGGGAGCCAAAAGCGAGACTGCAGCGTCACTTTCTGAATTGGCACCGGAACTCCCTTTCTTCACGCTTTACTGGCGTGGCGGCGCTGGATTGGCTCGAGGCGTTTGTCAACTCGTGCTTGTTTGCAGCAATGCAAGGCGCCGGTGACGTCATGAACCCCTACCAGTTGTGTCAACGCCAAGTAGAAGCAGGCCTCGTTGTACCTACATTCGATGTATTTAAATATGCTGTATACTACGGCAAGGCTTCGAAGACTAAAAGTTACTCAAGTCTCATGACTACGTACTCATGAGCGCAGTCTTTCTATCCTCACGTTATTATATTGCCCAGTATTTAGTCCTGACTTCGCAACAGGGTCTTCACAAACTGTTTGCTGTGCTTCTGTTGCACACCCCACACGATACTTGTTGCGTTTGTTCCTAGATCTAAGAAAACGTTCCCCAGATCTACGAAAACGTTCATGAAGTGTTCTTTGTTTACCTTCCTTCATTCCATTCCACCGAAATACAATAATCAGTGTTGTAATAATGACGAACAACTTGTTAATCTTGTATGCGTCCTACGTGCGACCTACGGCTATCGTGCTGGCCTAACTACTCCTTCTTGCCGTAGAA